AATACTAATGCATGAAAATCCTAACCTCAAAAAAATCACCCGTTATAATCAAACATGGTTATTGAGGTCAAATTGGATATGTCTCCCACATCAAAGTGCCAGTCGTATTACAACTTCTTTGAAATTGAGTTACGAACGGCTATATATTTATGTATATATCCACGTCAGTGTGTATGTATTTAAATTGAAATTCATTTGTGCACAAACACATAAATGCATATATGGAGCACGCGCATGTAAACAAATGGACACATGTCATGTGCAGTTAGCATAAGTCACATAAGTCATACGGCAGTAAATTAAACCACAGCAGCTAAGAACTGTCAAAGACAAAATTAATTGTCACAGCCACGACAGTTGCATACAAAGTTAACAAAGATGCTGCCACCGGGCTGCCAATGCAACGCAGACTCGTAAGTGCATTCGCGCCACTGTATTTGTGCACTTCAAGCGAAACTTTTACTTCCTTGGGTACTCTACTTGAGCCCTTTATATACATACATACATACTTTAACTATTTTAATGCTAGCTAATATTTCAAGCTTTCAATTGCTCACTCACCCTCAGCCGATGCGCTTCATCCATGGTCGCCGATGCATGATAGCTCAACACTTCCAATGTGACACTTTGCTTGGCCATAGCCACAATTGCCTTCTCGTACATGTGTGTATTGTGTATGCCCATGCCGCAGAAGATGGCGAAGGCTTCGACGAAATTCTCATCGTTTTTGGTAAAGTTCTAAAATGGAGAGAGATTTTTGAGTTATGAAATAAGAAAGTTAAAGTAGGATTTTTTTTTTATATTTTACTTACCAGATCATCAAATTTGTTTATTAACTGTATGACGCCAATAATTTGGCCGAGCGAGTTCTTTATTGCCATACACAAAATGGACTTTTGCTTGAAATTGCCCTCAGCATCAACGCTGGCATCAAAGCGATCATCTTCGTAAGCGTTTGGTATATTTACAGTCTGAGGAAAAAGAGTAAAGTACAAAAAATTATTTACTAACAAAGTAGTGTTGAGTTTAGCCGGTTTCCAGTTCATTAAATGCACCAATGCGCCATTCCAGCGAAAAGGTGAATATATGAAGTGGTAGGAGAAAGACGATTTTTCGGGCGAAACCATGATTTAAAACCGATAAAGAAGCTGCAGATCATACATGCACAAGCTGCTGCGCTCCAAGCTTCTTAAGATTGCCTTTCGATTATTTTCAGAGTCTGTATAAAATTTAACATTGTTTTTATCACCAAAGGCTTATAAATGAATCAGAAATATCTCAGGGCTTTGCAACTTTCAAAAAGTGCTTCAAGGACTGTTCACTTACAAATTCTCTGGACATTTAAAGCACTTTCAATAACTGACGTCATAACAAGTGCCTTGAAGGGACTTTGAATGGGCTTTACACGGTTGGAGTTTATGAGGCAAATCCTAGTAGGCAAGGTGATGACGGAAAGAGTAGGTGAGCACCAAATTGGAGGCATGTGGCAAGAGACGCAAAAGTTCCCTTTTTAACCATTTTTTCCACATTTCTGAAAACTGCTTAGGCCGAAACATAAAAACTTTACGGTTTTCATTTTTAGAGACTTCTACGTTGGTGGCATGAAGTTTTTGCCTGAGAAGACTCCTAGTAAAATTTTCTGAAGAATAGGTTTTTAGAATATATCATTCCTCTAATGATTCCAACTCATGCAGCAATACTCAATGAAATTAAACCCCTTTAAAGCTGCCAAAGAAGTCAGCATTGGCTACATTAGAGGAGGTTATATGCATCTACACTTATGGTTCAAAGATGGATTAAGGAACCGGAGACGGTCTCTACTCGGAGTATCTTGAGATCAAACAGTCCTTTCGTCTGCCGAACGATTGCAATGTCTTCCAAGTAGAGATCAATGCTCTAGAGATAGCGGCTAGTCTTTTACTTGGTAGTATGGTTCCAGCTGATAATCTGGATGATCTTTGTCGTTAGTGTTTGAAAGCAGTAGAATTTAAAATAGTAAAATCGGGAATTGTATGGAAATGTTGAGCCACGTTGTCATCACTGAGCCACATAAACGTCACTCTATGCTGGGTCGGCGGACATAGCAATATTGAAGGGAATAAGTCGGCTGATGGGATGGCTAGTTACGGCTCTGAGATGCAAATTAACGAGGCGAATAACTCCGTACTACCACCGTTCATTTATGACGTTAAGAAGATTTATGAATACACTATGGAAGCTACTAATGACTTGTGGAACCAATGGGAAGACTGTGAGATCGCAAAATTATTATGACCCAGGCTTAATAGAAAAAAAAACGTAAGACCATCTAACACTCAATAGATCTGCAGTAAGAGTCGTTACCGGTGTCATCACTACGTGGGGCACTACGCTGTAGCATAAATGCTTCAGCGATGACGAACACCAACAAATACTCTCTGAAAAAGCTGCCACGATGAGGATGAGAAGGAATTAAATGACCACTTTCTGTGTCGATGTCCGGTACTACAGTCGAAGCGCCTCACGCAGTGGGGTCACGCTTTTTCAACAGTCTGGGCGAGATAGTGACTGCGGAACTGTTGGATATCCTCAGTTTCATTAGGGATAGCAGCTGGTGTAGTAGGATAGTGACATGAAAGTACTTAAATTTTCTCTAAATAGGAACATCCTCTGTTAGGGGTACGTGTCTCCTCCTGACACTCAGTTGTAGAGGGTAATTTTGTCTATGAGTGAAAGTACTATAGAACAGTCCATAAACGCTCTCCTAACCTAACCTAACCAAAGTTAAGAGCAGAAGGTCAAGAAAAATTTGATTTAAATAGCATAAATTAAGAAACACACAGAAGTTGTTGTCATTAAACCAACACAGAAGTACTAAAGAGTATGATAAGAAATTTTAAGGCTAATACTGAACGGGTACAAATAATTAGAAACATCTGAGTTGGAGTGGTACTATTAGAAGTGATAAAGTTGAGTAAATCAGATCCCCATTCTGTGAAAAAGTAAAGTGTCCATACAAAAAGTACCAACAATCACTGAGGCAATGGAACCTTTGGAAGTTTTCTGAAGCTAATGAGGAGGAGTAAATTTATATCCAGACTCAGGCGAAGAGGGCTATTGTAAAGTTAACTGGATCCAATGCACGAGCTAAAAAGCATTTGAGTTATAAGAAGATCTATAATCGAACAAAGCAGAAGCCTGAAATACCAAAACCGATGCTACCATGCTACTTGCATGCCTGACGCAAAATGTGCAGGCATTTATTTTATTTATTTGTTCTTCCATTTAATTTTTCTTATAATTAGAAAATGCATTTGAATATTGCCGCCTCCGCGAAAAAAAAAACAAGTTTGCAAATAAAATTCTTCTTTTTTGTTTTAAATATTTTTATTGAGCTTTTGTACCACGATTGTTATAGCACTATTTCGGAGATCACCACATCTCCTCATCAGACTTCTTTTTCTAGACTTCAGCAGGGATCGAACCTGAACCTGAAGTCTAGAAAAAGAAGTCTGATGAGATGTGGTGATCTCCGAAATAGTGCTATAACTTCTACCGCTTAGACTTTGTTGCTTTTTCAATTTTTCCTAATAAACAATCGTGGTACAAAGCTCAATAAAAATATTAAAAATAAAATGTTAACAAGCCACAATAACATTGATAAAATTCTTCTTACTCACCTCACCAGTTGTCGCCACATAGCCGGTGATGCCCACATTTATGGGGAACCGTGACTCATGCGGACTCGTCCGTGACGTATTCTCCTCGTGACTGAGATCGTTCGCTTCAAAATCGAATACGCGTGAGAAGCTGCCCTTCGACGCCTCGTGCAGCAGCAAAATCTGTACGCGCTGACATTGTATGAGGCTCTGCATGTGTGTGAGTATACGCAATACCATGTGCTCAATTGTGCTCTGTTCCTCGAAGATCATACGCGCCAAATCGAGTAACACTTGATTACGCTTAATTTCCAGCTGAGATTTCTCGTAAAGCTGAGCGTTACGCAAGCCAATGCCACAGAATTGCAGATAGGAAGCGAAGACCTAAATAAAATTTTTTTTTTTTTTTTATTTATAAAACCAGAATCGAGTCTACTTAAAGTTAAGAAAATTACAAATTTTAAATTCTTGACGGCCAAACCTATATCCACCGGCCGCAAGAAATTATGTTAATTTTTACAGCTGCATATTCCCCTTCTGTACCCACTAGGGATCCCGGTCTTTTTTAAGTCCCGAATATCCCGGGATTAGTCGATTTAAATCCCGGGATTGCTGGAAAAAATTTTTTTGTTAGCCAATTACATTTTTATCACAAATATCCCCTCTCAAGGGCAAAACAAGAATTTTTTGCAACCCTTAATGCTATAATTTCATTAAGATCGCATTTCCATCAAAAGAAGGAATAATTTTGCTTCGCTCAAAATGGAATAGGTGATGCACTTATATATTTATTTTTTACTTAAATGTGTTAACTTTTTTATTATTACTTAAATATACTGATAATATCTTAAATTGATCTCAAACAGTGATTTAAAAAATTTTGTATAGTTACGTAGGCAGTTACTGCTGTACCAAATACAGTCACTTACAAAAATATTTTGCGTCGATTTTTTTTGCAATATTCAAAATATTTTTCATGGTATTTTTTTGTTAATTAAAAAAAATATATAGCTCATTTTACAACAAAAATCATGTAAATCAAAATTTCACACTTTAGAGAAAGTTGGCTTAAGTTCACCAAATTATCATAAAAATATCAAACTTTTTAACCATAATTTAAAAAAAAAAATTTATTATGCAGTTTTATAGCCCATTCAATTTAATACAATAAAGTCCAATTTTAAAGTTGCTAAAAACTCCCTTGATTTTTGAATTTTTTTTACTGACAATATTGGGCATTTTCTCCCTTATAACGAATTTTTTTGTGGCAAAAAAAAATATATATAAAATGTCAACGGGATGGTTTAGCAACTTCAAAATTGCACATACGTATATATTTTTTTAAATTAAACAAAAAAAAATACCATGAAAAATATTCTGAATATTGCAAAAAAAAAATTTATGCAAAATATTTCTCGGAGTGACCGTATATGCATTTGTACTTGTAGTAAAAAAAACTATGTTATAAATTAATGAGGATATGTACATACATACATATATGTTTGTCAAATTTTATGTTTGTTTTTTGTTGATTGAAAATACTGATTAATCGCCTTAATAAATATGTAAATGAATTACAATAAATTGTACTTTTTTTTGTTATATCAATCTGATTTAAAATACTATAATAGGATGATCACAGATGTGTTGCACTTTTACCTGAATTTCGGGACAATCCCGGGATCCCGGGATTGTATTTTCAGATCCCGAAAATCCCGGGATCGACAAAACCCCGAAAATTGACATCCCTAGTACCCACACTCTACACCATCCAAAACTAACCACGTGCCAGACAGACAATAGTAGCAAATTTTAAACGCCAAAAAAAAATTTTGGTGCGACAAAGTTGTTAAAGGAAAGTTGTCAACCGAGATTGTTCAATGCCAATAAAAATGGAAAAAGATAAAAATGCGAAAGAAAACTAAAACGATAAAAAATTGATTCAACAAAGTTTTTCGTTAGACGCGAATTGTCCAAGTAAGTGCAAAACCAATGAAAGGAATCGACCGGAAAATGCTTAATACTGCGAGAAGTGGAAACTTTTCAATATCCACATAACCGCCCTACAAAGCGTTGCTGCAAGTATGAATACATATGTTTGTTGCATGGAAAGTAAGTAAGAGGCGCTTGTTTGTCCGAGTGTTTTTGTTTGCGCGTGTCGCATCTATTGTGGCAAATAAAAGATGCAGAGCCATAAAAGTGTGTATGTACAGTAAGTTGTCATAAAAAGTTTAAGTGTCCTCCACACACAATTCGCAATTCGAAAGTTACTTTACATCTACAAACGTATAAATTTCAATTTAGTTGAACAATTGTGAATAAATTGCGGTCATAACAGTGTTTAAAATTTGCTGGCACTTGTTAGTTGCTTTTATTTTTGATTGCTTATCAGTGTGCTGTGCTGCTTCTTACCTTCTCGTCGGCCTCTGTGAAGCATTCACCATTTAATTTATTAATGACCTGCGCCACACCGATGACATCGCCCGATGAATCCTTAATGGGCATGCAAAGTAACGCTTTTGTCCGATAGCCAGTTATGCTGTCGATTTCACCATTGAAGCGCTCATCCTGCAAAGAGAATATGTATAAGGAAAAAAATGGAAAATTAATTTAGAGCAATTACTTTAAGCTTAATAACAGTTAAATAATAAGGACATAAGTATTTAATTGAATTTAAGGCAATAAAATATTTAGCAGTACTCGTTATTTATCTACTTTAAGGTAAGATTCTAATAATTACAAAAGTTTACAGAAATAAAAAAAAAACTTTCCGACCTTTGGTATTTGCCCATCACTTCTAAAGTAAAATTTTCCGCTGAATCCGAAAAGGAAGACAAGGTATAAACAAGTTTTTGAGATATAGCAAGTTTTGCTTTAACTTTAACGTTTCTAAAAATTAAATTAAAATAAATTAAATTAATACCAAATCTTTAGATAAAACTAAAAAATAAAAATAAAAATATTAAAAAAATAAAATAGATAAAATAAGTTCCTAAAAATGTAATGAAATTAAAAAAAATCTTTTTAAATAAAATCTAAGAATTTCAAGATAATCCGAAAATGAAGTCAAGGTATAAAAAAATGTTTCAAATATAGCAAATTTTGGTTTACTTTTAAATAAAATAGGTTTTTAAAAATTAAATTAATTAAAAAAAAATAGTTTTAAATTATTATAATCTCAAGATAAAATATATATAGATAGTTTGTAAAAGCTAAGTGCAATTAAAAATAACAAATTTTTTAATACTAAATCTAAAAGATAGAAGAAAATTAAATTAAAAAAAGAAAAAATAAAACAAAATAAGATCCTAGAAACTAAATGAAATTTAAAAAATATATATATTTATTTAAACAATAAACTCTTAAAATAAAAAATAAAATGATTTAAAAAGAAAAAAATTAAACAAGTTTCTAAAGGCAGTGTCACAAGATTGGTACATTTGTACAGATTTGTAAATTTTGTTATATGAACTACTGGTACAAAATAAAAAAATTGGGACGACAATTTTTTTTTTGTAGTCACCAGGTTGGTACAATACAGCGAACTTCTATTGAAAAATTTGAACAAATTCAGCTTTATCCTGAGTTTCGTCCGAAAAAATATTCAACCGATTGTTCATCCGCCCATAGTAAATGCACGGAAACAAAAAGGGCAAAATCCCATCGTGGACACTACCTTAACAATTAAATGACATACAAATAAACAAATTAAAAAAGGAAAAAAATCCACGACATTAGTTTCTAAAAATTAAATTAAATTAGGGGCATATTTATTTTTCTTTTTAATATAATTAAAAAATTAAAAAAAAATATTATTTAAAAAAAACAAAAAATACCTAAAAAAACATCAAAAAAGCGCTGTCCGAGAAATGGAATCCCGGATCTATCGAATGGTGCGCCAGTGCTTTGCTCACTCGGCCATTGTGAAATGATATAGAAATGACCAAGTGCTTTTTGTTAAAAGAGCTTTTCGCCATGAGAGTTGGCATGGGAGCTTTTTTTTGTAAGACTTTCGTGCCAGAATAAACGTAATCGTCCAAACTATCTTGGCTACTGCCGCCTTTCAATTGTCATACAAGAGACTTGCAACTATCTTGGCCAGGATTGTCCTGTAAAATTGCTTAACAAATGGCAACTCATTGAGGATTTTTATCAGCTTATCAATTGCATAATCAATTTTTGTTATGAACTCATCCCCTTCCCTGGAAACAACTTAAGTGCATTTAAATTATTAAGTAAGTAATTACCAGGCAAAGTGCACGGCAAATGCTTGTATTCTGGGGAAAAAAAATGCATTGACTTATGTATGGCAAAGTAGGAAATCTGATAAGCTCGAAAGCCTTTTTAAATGAAAATAATACGCAAAAAACAGCAGGCATACGCACATTCATAAATAAACTCCGATGACTCCTCGCAACCGCCATAGTGAAAATTATTTATCATCATCATCACCAACATCATCAAAATAATGGGGCGTTGGGCGATTGTACTATCAACAATATTGATGCGCTGATTAATAATAAGTACGAATTAAATCACTAAAACAACAGTGCAGCGCATATGGATTGTATTATATTATATAGTACATACATATATATGTGCATACATACACTTGCTTATATTTTACTATTTACATTAGTATTAAGGCGAAAATGTGGTTTAAGTAAAAAGTCGACGGCGACGCATTGGCAGTGATGAGCAACGGGACTTCGTTCTTATCGGTGAAATAGTCTATCAAGTAGCTGTTGTTATTTGTTTTAATATTACTCACTGACGGTTACATTCATTTTAATGTTTGTAACGTTGGCATTTTAATGTGTATACATCGTGGCTCTCAGTACGGGTAAAATTTTTTTAACCCAGCAGAAAATCTGTAACAGCGGCATGTGTAACCCAGCAATCTGTAATTGCTGCTTGTGTGTTCAATTTTACAATTTTGGACTAGTTCATGCCTACTTCAGGACCATTTCGGGGCACGACTAGTTTAGGACATTTCAGAACCAATTCTGGAACTGTTCAGGACTATTTCGGAACTTGTTCGGGACTTGTCCGGGATGATTTCGAGACCTGTTCACAGCCATTTCGAGAATAGTGTGGACTTTTGGGAATAGGTTTTCAACCTTTTCTGGAACTGGGACCATTTTGGGACCTATTCGGGACTAGTTCACGGCTATTTCAGCTCTGGCCATTTGAGACTAGTTCAGAACTATTTTGGGTGTAATTTTGGTTCATTTCGGGACTAGTTCAGGCCTATTTCGGTAATGGATCAGCACTGGATGGGACCTTTTCGAGGTAGGTCACGACAATTTCAAGATCATTCTAGACTAGCTCACGGCTATTTTTAAGACCTTTTTGGGACTAGTTCGGGAACATTTCGAGAATAGTATGGAATTTCTAAGGAACATTTCGGGACTAGTTTAGGATCATTTCTCACTCATTTTAGGTCAATTTTTGGACTGGTTAAGGATACTTTTTGACTAATAAGGGACCACTTCGGGACCGCTTCAATACTTGTTCGTTATCATTTCGGGACAAGGTCCTGACTTTTTCGTAACCATTTCAGAACTACTTCGGGACAATTTTGGGTAGTCCCAACGAATAAAATCGAGCTCAAACTGGCCACGCTTAGAGGAGCTACTAGTCTATGTGTGGCTCTATGTCGCTCAGTTTAACCGAAGCTATCGAATGTTTCAACAATCACTCCCACGACAGTCGGGTCTACGTAACCGGAACGACACAGATTTATATCTGGCTGAGGACTGTTACTCCAGCAACACTCCCCAAAAATTCTTTGGGGAATGCTGTTACAACAACTACAACAACGTTTAACGAAGCGAAAGCCCTGAAACACTCCGTTATCAAGATAAATTATAAATGAAATTGCTGTTATATGTTTGTATACCACTTTAGACTGAATTCAACCAGTATTGACCAGACCTAAACATTTTTGTCTATATTTTCCAAACACAAGCAAAATACAATTTATATTTGTGAAATCTTCTTGAGAGTAGAGAGCTCGTACAAGCACCGCTTAACAGTACTTTACATAAATAACTGGCGATATCAAATGTCTAATAAATCAGGTAAAAAAAAACAACGGGTGTGCAAAAAAGTGGCACGAAGAAGTGAATTAATTTGTTATGACACCAAAGTTATAGCTGCCACCTTGGGCAATCTATACCGCTTGATCGGTGTGGCCATAACAGGAGGCCATCTGGGGAATCCTACGGCTGACAAATGTAATCAGCATGAAAAGTATGGATATTCGGAGTCACTTGTAGGTTCTCAAGCCATTCCTGGATGATCCCACTATCAAGTTCCCAGATAAGGTACTACCGAAATTATCCTTTGACAAGACCTACAAAGTGATAATTCCTAAAATGGACTGCTTTGAAGCGATAATATCTATGGCAGACAAAGAGTCCCAAGTGTGGTATTCCGAGTGATCGAAGATACATGACGTAAGTACTGGGGCAGGCGTACTTGGACCAGAAAAGTCAGCCATTGGGCTCATACCCAACCATATTAAAGGCGGTAGTCTTCGAAATCGAAGTCTATGTTCGCGAATGTCGTCGTAGATGGACAAATAGCGCCAAAATAAATATTATGTCAGAGTCAGATAGCACTTAAGGCCTTAGACTCCTTTATAACGTCATCGAGGCTTGTAGAGAGTTGTAAAACCCTTCTGAATAGCCTAGGAGCCCATAATAGATTGACGCTGTGTAGGGGGCCTGGACATTTTCGCGCAAAACGTGGAGCCCAAATGCGTTTGCATGGTCCCGAGACATTCTGCGACACATATAAAGGGTACACAGCAAAACTACCTAGGAGCTGGGAAGAATCTCAGACATAATAATAGTCACCTATACGCATTTTAGTCATTCAACCCGTCAAAGAACATAAAGAAGCAAAGGCTATCAGATCATTCCGGATACGTACAGAATCATACCATACAGCAGACATGGGCAAACAGTTTACGGGAGGAAGGGTATGAAAAGTTGCGAAAAAATTATTTATATCCCACCGACATCATGTTCATCGCAGTACGGCTGCGGTAATACTGACTTTGTGTACCAAATACACAATACTAAGGGTGGGTAACTCTGTAAATTTTGGTGTGCTGACTCAGTAACTCCAACTCACTTTAATGAGTCAGCACAGTGAGCTGGCACAAGTGTGCTATCGCACAATTGGTATGTACAACGAAATTTTTGATGATGTTAGTAATCGAAATCGATTTAGAAAAGATTATCTTTAGCTTCTGTTCAGCTGGCCGGCAAAATTTTAGAAAGATGATTTCAACCGGTGAGTTCATTTGCAAAATAATTCCCCTTGGATGTATTAACTTCCATCCCAGTTATGCATACTTAGCTTTGCTTGAGAGTTGTCATGTAAGAATCTGTTAAATGGGCTATGCTTGTAAGCGGTTACCCAACGCATAGCACTTCACATGTAGAATTCTCTTTGGTTTTGATTTTACGTAAAAATGGTATAACAGTGCAGGTATGCATAACTGGGCTATTCGCCTTGCTTCTTGTTAAATTTGGTAGTCGTATATTCAATTGATG